TGTGGTCTCCTGGTTAGAGAATTGGGGAGTTTGGGCTTCTTGGGCAGGAGTGGCTTCCGGTTGATCAAAGTGGTTTGCAGCGGCAGCGAGGATAGGACCTGGTCAATCCTAGGGTGAATTACTTGTCCTCAGTGGCGTCCCCATCCTTAGTGTCACCCGGTAGGAAGGAGGGTGCTGGGGGGGCTGTGGCCAAAGGGGCATGCTGGACCCCTTCCTTTGCTGCGGCAGTGGCAGTCTCCTTATGAGCCTCTGCTGCTGTAGCAAGCCGGAGGGGTGCAGCGGGAGGAGGGGCTGGCTGGGTGTCACCCCTCTTCTGGAGTGTTACCTGATGTGGCCTGTACCTTCCGCACTGCACCCATGCTTGTCCTGGGTTTTTGATTAAATTATTAAACCAATAAGTGGTTCAAGTGGGTAGTGGGCTCCCTCCCTTTATTTTCTACTTGGGCCAGTAAGCCTTCATTGGATCAGTTGGGAAGTTCCAGGAAAGCCCACCATTTGCCCACAGGCCCTAGTTAGTCTCAGACAGGGATTATGTGGTTCAGTGGTCTTTGGAAGCTCCTGTTAACCCAATAGGATGTAGTTAGGCTGCACTGTATTGCTCTTAGGTGGAGTAGGTATAGGCCAAGATGGCAAGCTATGTTTGGCCTGTGGAATGGTTTGTAGGCTTTGATTGGGCCCATAGGACCACCATGTGTCCTGTAGTCCATGCTTAGGCTTTTAGGCACTAGTTAAGTCACCTTGTGGGCTATAGGCCAAGATTGGGCCTTTGAGCCTCAGTCTGGCATGTGGTCCCCTCAGTGGCTGATACAGCCCCCAGTCACGCCCACAGACCCAAATGTTCATTTGGGAATATTGTAGAGGCCATAAATAAAAGTACCAAAAGAAGATTGTGTTTTTTTTTTTAAAGAACAAGTTAGAACAGGAATTAGAATTATGACCACCCAGAGGCTGTTGAATTGCAACTTTCGATGATTCTCAGCATTGGATGTGTTAGCTAGAACTTCTGGAAACTGCAGTTCAACAACATCTGGAGACCTGCATGATTCCACCCCTGAATCAGGGAAGCATAAATTTGGACCCTGGCTTGGGTTGTGCTTGAAGTAGACCCACCAAAATCAGTGGTACTTTGCTTACTCTTGATTGAATCAAGACTAATTTATTTCAATCTACTGGGTCTTCTAAAAAAGATGGATTGTGTATTAATAATATTGTGCATTTTATTAACCACTATAAAAAAGATGGGTTGTATATTAGTGGCCCGCCTTGGCATAATTCTATTAACTACTGTAAAAAAGATGAACCGTGTACTAATAATGTCACGTATTGTATTAACCACTGCAAAAAAGATGGGTTGTATATTAGTAGCCCACCCTGGGATAATTGTATTAACCACTGTAAAAAAGATGGATCATGTATTAATAATATCATGCATTGTATTAATCACTGTAAGAAAGATGGGTCATATATTTGTAGCCTACCCTGGGATAATTGAATTAACCAGTGTAGGTTAGATTATTAATACATGATCTATCATTTTTACAGTGGTTAATACAATTATCTCAGGGTGGGCTACTAATATATGACCCATCTTTTTTACAGTGGTTAATACCATGCACAATATTATTAATACATGATCCATCTTTTTTACAGGATTAAAAGTGAGTAGGCAGAAACTCTCACCCCCCCCCCCCTTAGAATTGAATTTGCATTGGAAGGGAAGTTAGAAGGGAAGCCACACAAGGCTTTGATTCATCTGTTGCCCATCCAACTTGTTGGTCATCTGATAGTCCAGAGACCCTTGGCAATCTTTGCCCAGAACTATTGATACAGATGAATTGTTTCAGTCAAGGAAGCCACAGCCCTGAGTTTGCAAGACCTCAGTAGAGGACTGTTGGATACTCTTAGAGGTCTTTCATTCATAGTGTCACAATAAGTAAAAAACATTTTGACAGCAAATACCATCAAACTGGTATTTTGTATATACAAACCTTCTGAAATGATTCCATTTTCATATAACTTCTACATTATTTAATATTTAAAAGCCAAATTTTAGCTCTCAATTTTTTTTACATTGTAAAAACGTGAGATGTAAAACTTAATGGGTTCGATCCTGACTGGATGAGCTATACTTAGCACTTACTGAATTCAGTGTGTACAGTTAGCCATGATGTATATTAGATCCTATTTCTTTCATTAGGAAATAAATGCAACTAGCTAAATAAGGACTTTATCACATGGGGGAAATCCAATGCAGAAACGGGGTTTTAAATTAAAAAAAACAACCCGCAAAAGCGGGCAGATTTTCAGATGACATCGCTGTTAAAATGGGGTTAACCTGAATGGAAAGTAATCAGAAACTGCTTCTTTTTACTTTCAAAAAATCCCAAAAGTAAAAAAAAAAGCAGTTTCTGACTACTTTCCTTTCAGGTTAACCCCATTTTAACAGCAACGTTTGTGAAAATCTGCCCGCTTTTGTGGGTTTCCCCCACCTTTTAAATCCCATTTCTGCACGGGATTTCCCCTGTTTGATAAACTGCTGAGGGCCTTTGCAGACTGCCAGAAATAGTGCAAATTGAGGCTACTTTAACTGCCCTGGCTCAGTGCTAGGGAATCACGGGAACTGTAGTTTATTGTGGCACCAGAGCTCTCTGACAGAGAAGGCTCAATGTCTCAGAAAAAATACAATTCCCATGATTCCCTAGCACTGAGCCAGGGCAGTTAAAGTGCACTCAATTTGCACTATTTCTGTCAGTCTGCAAAGGCCTTAACTTTGGTTTGAGCCCAATAACTTTAATTCAGGCTTGTGGCTCAGAATCTTAGCTGAGCTTGTTCCTAGGTAACAAATTAAAGTATTAATGTCTTCTGTCAAGGAAGGAAAAAAATGTAATAATAGTGCCATATGTTGATAAAGTTCAGGGTTTTTCTAATATGCCAATCAAAAGCCAAAACAGCAAACTTTGGAAATACTGCGTATATAACCTTTCAAGTACTGAACATTAATTCTTACAAAAATAATAATTCAGTACTGTTAGAAGATCACTGTGATTACCCCACACAAAGAGATTTGGGCGTTGTATTTGTTAAATTGGTTGTCAGCAGTATATTTGAGTCCATAACTTCTCCATTTAAAAAATGTCAGGGAAGGGGGCATGTGCACATAATGGATAGGATGGAGTTACCACTAAAAGGTCCCCCTCTTTTGTGGCTGTCTGCTTAAGCGATCTTACCAGCAGGCCCAAGAGCCAGGGTACTGGGGCTGGTCTTAGGGTTGAGCAGATTTTGTATGGTGGAGAACAGTGGTTCTTACTCTTTGGTCCTCAGGAATTCTGGGAGCGGAAACCCCAAACATCTGGAGCAGGGGTAGGCAACCTTTTTCAGGCAGGGGTTGGTCTGCAGAACAGCTCCCTTCCGGCGGGCCGGGGGGGAGAATGGTGGTGCGTGTGCTCATGCGCGTGCGCATGCCCCCCGCCGCCACATGCGCTGTTGCAGCTACCGCCGTATGTGTCACGTCCGCCATTTTGTTTTCCAATATTGCGCATGCGCAAACGCCTCGCGGCCGGCATTTTGAAAAACAAAATGGTGGGTGCGCAGTGCACAGCTGCGTGGTGGCCGCAATTCACGGCGGCGGCAGCAGGGATCGGCGGGGGCTGGTAAGTGCAGGGCCCCAGGCTGGAACCGGCCTGTGGGCCGTAGGTTGCCAGCCCCTGATCTGGAGGATCAGAGTTTGAGATCCACTGATGTAGATGGTCTTTCAGATAATTTGGTCCTAGCTTATTTAGTTTCGGCACAGCACCATTTGATTATTAATGCTAGGAAATGATTTCCTTATGGAACCATCTTGAGAACTGTTTCATACACAGCTACTATTATCAGAAGTAGGAAAACTCCAGTTGTGGGACCAGATCTCATCCTTGTGTCATCCCAGCTTGGTCCTCTTGGATTTCCTGGAGGTCCATGCCCTCTTCCCCAGCCTTTAAAAAAGTTTAAATGCCTTTCTTGGTTTACTTACAGTAAGAACATCAAGCTAAAATACACTGGTATTTTTGGTCCCATCTGTTGGCCCCACCAGCTACTGGGATGTGGCTGAAGCAACCGATGAAACTGAATTGCACACCTAATACATTAATTGTTTAGTCAACACTTGATAAATCCCAGTTCAGTGTATGAAATATTTTCATTGCAAAGCAGTACTTTTTAATCAATAGGAATGTTCTACCTGTGATGATTAATTTAGGATTAATCCCATATTGATGTTACTGACATGCCAAACAATGACTAATGATCAGCCCTAGCTGATTATTAGCACTATTGATTCTTCCAGCAGTTATGTATGACATGTGAAGCAGACGAGAAGGTAAAGTGTGGACTAAGATCAGCATTTGCTAGAGAATAGCACTGTTGAAACACCTGGGGCCCTTTCATAGCATGGAATTAGATCAGTATGATTCCAATTATCTTGACAACATTTATGGAATCCTGGAATTTGCAGTTTAGGGAGACGAATTCAGAACCCTCAGCCAGGGAGCTCCTCTGTTGCCTCTGACCAAACTAAAAATCCTAGGATACCAAGGGATGCAGCCATGGCAGTTAAAGTGGAATCAAAGCTCTATAATTGTAGTGTGAAAGGGCCCCTGGTCTCCTCAAACAAGATGATAAGGTAACACTGTTCAGAGCCATTTCCTGGACATGTCACATTGTAATTTGTAATTACAACCACAGAAAGGCAAAAGATATATAGGTTGAGAATCCCTTATTCAAAATGATTGGGATCAGAAGAGTTTTGGGTTTTGGGGTTTTTTTCCCCTTTTTGGATTTTGGAAAACACGTCTTTGCATATTTGTTGTTATTGTCATGTGCCATTAAGTTGTTTCTCACTTATGGTGACCCTAAGGTGATCCTATTGTGGGGTTTTCTTGGCAAGATTTGTTCAGGAGGTGTGCCATTGTCTTCCCTTGAGGCTGAGAGGATGCGACTTGCTCAAGATCACCCAATGAGTTTCATGGCTGAGCAGGGAATTGAACCCTGGTTTTCAGAATCGTAATCCAACACTCAAACCACTATGCCACACTGGCTCCTGTATTTGCATATACATAATACAAGTAGTGTAGTAAATACTGTGTTTGTGAGGCTGGAGAGAGGCATGATAGATGTGAGGCCAGAGAGAGATGTGGTTGGAGAGAGACTGAGGATCTGTGAAATGGCAGGAAACCAAATGTAGTGCTCAGGTTGAATCCATGCCTCCCACCATTTTACAGATCCTTGCATCTCTCTCTAGCCTTGCATCTCTCTCTAGCCAGTTTCATGTCTTGTTCATTTGCTACTTGTGTTGTGTATAAGGGGTGAGGTTGGACAGAGACTGAAGATCAGAAAGACAAATGAGCAGGAGTGACACAGCCACTGCCTCAAAGGTAGAAGTGGGTGGCTGGTAGCAAAAAAGTTTTGGGTTTGGGAGGTTTTTGGGTTTTGGATTTCTGGATCAGAGGTGTTCAACCTGTATAAAAACAGACAGCTAGACTGCCAGGCTTCATAAAATACCTGGATAAAACAATGTTTTGACCTGATACTAAAAAGAATGTAAGCCTCTGTGTGGAAGGCAGAGAATCTCAAGGGTATTTGGAGAAGATCCGCTATCAAAGATCCTAAGGTACAAGCAGGCTGATACAGGTAGAGGTGCTTCTTTTAAATATTTGGGCTCCAAATTGTTAAAGTTCATGGCTTTAAAATTAAATACCAGCATCTTCAATTGGGTAGACATGTCTCCCTATCTATCTATCCCTATCTATCCTTATCTATCTATGTCTGTCTATCCCTATCTATCTATCCCCTGAGTACATCACACATCCCAGCCTAACTTCCCTCACAAAGCTGTTGTGAGAATAAAATGGGAAGGATGGCAGCCATGTATTCTTGAACTCATTGGAGAAAATATGGGATGGTAATGGAACCGACAAATGGTATATGTGGTCTCTTCACTTCCCTGAATGATAAAATAATTTGGGAACAGTCCTCCCCAGTTTTGAAAACTGACTGACTGGTGCTTTTCTTATATTTCCTTGGTTTATGTACAAATTTATGAGTGGATCATAAAAAGAGGCAAAAAGCTTGCAGTTCTACAAGGCAGCATATCTATTACTGTACAACAGAAAAACAGATAAAGATGAACAATATTCAGGTTTTCTAAAACTGTCAGTGAAACACATGGGGAGCAGAATGTACAGGTTCGGACCACAATGTTTCTGTGCTGTCCAGATGGGCAGTGAATTGGGCTTATGGCTGAGGAGGAGGAGGAGGTCGAGGTTGGACTGGGTTGCTTCCAGGAAAATAAACAGTGTATTCACTGACTGTAAACAGTTGTCCATTGCAGAGGCCCATCTGTTAAACACAAATATCCTCCTGATAATGCTGCATGGCTGTGAAACATGAAATAAACCTGTGGAGGAATAGAAGTTGCAAACAAATCAAAGAGCAATAAAAAAATACTTAATGGACATAAATTAGGTGCAGAATGTTTGTCACTCTTGACAATGGGCTGTTAAGAAGGATCTAATTAGGGGAAGTTATAATTAGCTCAAATATGCAAGAGTGGGGTCCTAACAAATCCCCATGGGACCGGGGACCATTATGTATACCAGAGGACTAAGGAATCCTGCTGATGCAGGCTTCTCCAATTAAAGTCTAAATATTTATTAAAAGGGGAAAACTACACACACACTGCACACTTAGGAATAAAGGAGTGAAAGCAGGAATAGCTTGAGAGTGACCTGACTGAGGGACTTACTCACTTCCGAAGGCTTCTCCGGGATTTGCTGTGGATGTTGATGATAATGATGATGAAGCATGGCCGCCGAAATAGGGGATGGGGGAGAAGGATGGCCGAGGGAGCTATAATCAGAGTACAGACTGATGTGGAGTTAGCATGCACTCTCAAGATAGCACATGGAGTCTAGAAATCCAAGGGTTCTTATAGGAAATTTTCTGCCTTCTCGCTAATGACTAAATGGCTTGGTTGAAGCCAAGACAAAGGTGTTGCTAGTCTTAGCTTTGTCAAAACTAGGTGTGAGGATAATCTAAACAATGCATTTGGTTTCAAATCTATTAAGGAAGGGAGGCTAGAGAAAAGGGTGTACTCAAATCTGATCACTGCCCCATTAAATGTGAGACTCAAGACAAATAAACACTATAATGTGCCTCTTCCAGTATATTGGTTCTTCCCTTTTGGCAACTCCCAAACCTTTCTGGTAGGGAATTTTCCAGTTGCCCTGGGCAGATCTCTCAGTGCCTACATAACCTGCCATCTAGGGGATTATAGCTGACATCCCTCAGAGGTCAGTCTGGGGTCATAGAGGGAACTCCACATGTGTCCAAAATTTTATGAAAAATCACATATGCTAACAGGGTGGGCAAGAAGCTGAAAGATAAAGATATCTTTAAAGTTATGTACAAGAATAAAAAGAATCAGCTTCATTGTATAACAAGAGTGAAAGAGTACTGACAGACAACGCAAAAACTCCACAGGTATCCATCAGGGTGGCATCCATCAGGCAGGAAGTTCTGGCCTTCATCAAAAACTGATATTTTCTGCTTTCCATCACTGTCTGGAAGTCTCTTTGGCAGAAGTGGCTTCAGGGACAGTTAGAGAGGTCACTTGGTTTAGCAATATAATTAAAGCTGGGTAAGGCCTTTGAAAAATTAGGTCTTATCCTGAGGCCATGGCCTAGGCTGTGCCAGGGATCTGTTTCACTGAATGATTCCTATCACAATCAACACTCATTCCCTTTTCCCTCCTCATGATTTTCCTCTTTAGTGTAATTTCTTATTTAGATTGTGGTCCTAAGGCTAGGGACTGTGGCATGGTCTATTTTGTAAACTATTCTGAGTTGGAAGGCCAGGAATGCTATAAATCCCATGAAAAGAAGAAGGAGCCCTCCAAAGCACTTGGATAATCTTATATGGAGGACTTTGAGGAAGACATAGACAAAACTGCACACAGTAAGTTTGTATGGAATCATTGCAATGTGCATTGATGGATAAAGCAACATGGATAAAAAACACAGATTTTCCTGGTATTCAAGTGTTAGAGGCCAGGCTGATTTGGTTGCCAACTTTGAGGCCTGGAAATATACATGTAAGGTACAGAATAGGGTACAGGAATGAGGTGGCTCAGTGGTTAAGATGCTGACTCTGATGATTGCAAGATTGGCAAGGTCGCCAGTTCAAAGCCCAAGTGCCATGTGATAGAGTGAGCTCCTGTCACTAGTCCCAGCTTCTGACAACCTAGCAGTTCGAAAGCATGTAAAAGTGCAAATAGATAAATAGGTACCACTTCGATGGAAAGATAAACAGCATTCTGTGCAGTCATGCTGGTCACATGATTAGATATCCAGACTATACAAGATGATACTTGATATCAATTTAAAAGAAGAAACTATAAAAGACCACATGATAAAGTGGATGCAAGATATTGGAGAAAACATTATGCTAGTTACCTGGGAAGAAGTATGGATAAAAAATCTAAAATTTACTAAAAGTGCTTATTTAATTGAAAACTTCTACAAAATGTTTTACAGATGGCATATGTCCCCTGAAAAATTGGCTAAGTTAAAAAATAAAGTAGAAAGCAATTGCTGGAAATGTGGGCAAAACAAAGCCAATCTATTTCACATGTGATGGAAGTGTAAGTCAGCAACGGAATTTTGGAAAATGATCCACAAAAAATACAAGGAATTTTTCAAATTAAATTTAAAATGGATCCAAAATTGTACCTATTGAATATAACAGAAGTTATAAAAAGCAAAATAAGCAAGGAAGAAACTGATTTCACTTCATACATGATCACAGCAGCTCGAATAGTATTTGCTAAATACTGGAAAGAGACAAAGGAGAATCTAGAGAAGGACTGGGTAGCAAAGGTACATGATCTGATGAGTATGGACAAATTGACAAGGCTAATAAAAGATAAATCAAACCAATAATTTTGTGCCAAATGGAAAAAAAGGGAATTATAGAAGTAATTACTGTTATACTTGTCACAGGCATACACAAATTGTGTAAAAGAGGGCAAACTAAGATGATAAAAACTCTGGTAAATAACGTTCAAGACGAAAATAGTATAGATACAGAAGATAGATATATATTAAAAGATCTTCTGGCTTATAAAGTTGTTGCATACTATAAGATGAAGGAAAGCTTATGCTACTCTAAAGTAGCTTATCTTTCCAATTTATGGTAAATTGAGATTAAAAGTAAGACTGTATAAGTTACTTTAATTGCTTTACTGATGTAATCAAGGAAATCTCTTTTGGGTTGTAAGTGAAATGTAAGAAGCCTTTTTTTAAACACAATAAAATAATAAAAGACAAAAAAATGTAAGAGGAAGCCCAGGAGCCACTGCCCAGTTCCTCTCCTGTCCCAATTGCTGGGAAGTAGAAAATGTCTTCTCATCCACACAAATTATATAACATGGGCCCACTGCATTGGTGGGCTAGCAAATGCAGATTGGACCATCTGCAGATTGCCAGGCCCCATATTATCAAATGGAGAGATGTGTGTCTGCAGCTGGTGTGCTGATGTGGGCATGCACATATTGCCGTCCACTGAATAATATGGGGCTTCAGGGTTTACATTTTTCCCCATTCATGGGGAAGGCAGAACTGAACCTGGATGGATTCCAGTAAATACCAGTTACTGGACCCATGGATATGGGATAAATGCAGGCTTCAAACAGACAGCTCCAAAGGGTCACTATTGGGGGGATGGCGTTCAGATGATGCATGTCCCCAACGTGGCCATAAGCCATCCCAGGTACAGCTATTTCCCAAAGAACCGGCCCCCAAAGGAGCAGTAAAATACTGCTCCTTTTTGGAGCCCAGTTCAGGACTGCAGTGGCAGCCTGGATCAAGGCTGGGCATGTGCGGCTTTCATGGTCCTGGGGTGAACGGTGGTGGCACAATCCCATCACGGACCTTTTGCACCATCTGCTTCGCCCCAGAAGCTCCTTTGGCCCAGTGAATGGACAGCCTTTGCCTGCCATTTTCTCTCTTTTGGAAATGAATGTCCATCCTAAGGTGAATCT